TTCCAAAGGAAAGAGAATGAGAACAAAAAATGATCGTTGTGGAAACGAAGGAACAATGAAGTATGAGATGAATGATTGACATTTCCCAGATGAAGTATTTACTGTATATTTCTCAGATTTTACTAAGATATTCTATAATGTTACATTAGAATACTTTTGGTTGTCACCAGTTGTGTTCTCATTCACTACAATTATGTTTATTCATTAAAACTAAACACATTATTTAGATGACAGTAATGAAACTCTTAAGAAAAATTATAATTATTCATTCGGTATAAAAATTTATTTGAATAAACAGAATGAAAGTAGAAGAGAAATCGGTGAAACTATAATGTATGAACGACCTTTGAGTGACTCTATATTGACCTTGAGGGTGTCAATCTAATCACTAGAACCAAATGAAGGTCATGAACCAGTATGAGGAGTTAGAATTAAGATTTACATTTGATTGTTAAGGTCGAGAATTAGATTTAAGATTTTCATCATGAACTAACATCAGCTCTAATACCGAAATGTTATTTAACCAAATGGATGAGTGGATTTCGCGCTAAAATCCATGACCTGTTATCTTATACCTGAATTTTTTCTGGTTAGCGTTCTTTTAGCGAGTTAGTTTTCTACGGGATGAGGTCGCTTAACCCTCCTCCTTTATCCGGGCTTGAGACCGGTAGTAGCCCCAGAGTGGCTCCAGGTGGAGTTTATACTTGGTCGGTTCGTCCATAAATTGTTGTTTCTCCGAAGAATCAAATCTTATGTAACATCATTGGATTAAGTACACTGTATATGTTTTAGTGAGCCTATATCTGACTTCAATCGGATTGTATGAATGATTGTTATGGAAATATACATTCCGACTACCGTTGTATATAATCATCGACGGAATTAAATATGAGTCAAATATGAGAATAAAGTTTGAATAAGTATTTTTTGTACAGTCGTTGATCCGGACAGACGATCAAAGAAACGAAGCGAAGAAAGAGAATAGGAAAGTGCGAAGTGAAACGGATCGAAGGGCGCGTGTGACGTAGCTCGATTTAACCAGGCTTGATTCAGTATTTATAGTCGAACAAAAACAAGTTACAGATACATAATGAGTAGGGTAAGAAGTTAGCGCACATATGATCATATAAAAACAGTCAGGATTAATAAACGAATAAGTGACAAGGTAAGAATGTAGCTTGAGAAGAATGAATAGGTTAGTCAGTCTAGAGATTTGAGGCTTGACATAGTACCAGCCCCTAGAATGTCACTATTAGACTTTTAGATATAGGAAATGACAGAGTATAAATGCATGCCATTTTCTTTTGAACAACTTATGTGTATTTAGATACTCATGCAGTAAGATACTCAGTTATGTCTGGGTTTCGTAATAGTTACTACTTATCAGCAAAGTATACGTGATGCTTTTTACAGAATCTGAATGTGCATCACTTGGTGTTACAGTAAAAGACATTATCACTAAGCTATTTCAATTGAGAACGAACTTCTGTAGGACTGAGTGTTTAGTCTTTTGTGATAACCGTAATTCGAAGAGACTTCAATTTATGGACGACTTTTGAACAAATCCCAGGTAACCTAGAGAGATATCAGCCAATCAGAAAGCAGTCAGCATAGAGTAAAAAGATGTTATTAAAAACCAAGGAAATAAAGTGAATACACTTCTTATACGTGGTTCAAAAACTTGTCAAGGTTAGAAAGAGGTTCAGAGGTTGCAAAATCGTAATGTATGCAATAGAGAAAATCATCCATACGGCTACAGAATAGTCGACCTCTGGATCCATGATAAAGTCTCAAATACTCTCAGCCTCGACCACATAACCTTGAAATCTCTAAAACGCCTCTGATTAGCTCGTCCATAAATTAGAGTGTCGCCACTAGTGATCATTTTGGTGAATTAAACAATAAATGGGGTTCTATTTTCATTGAGTCTTTTTTATATTATTATTAAGCCTGTTTTATATTCACTGTCCTCATTCACTTCCCTTCAACTCTTTTGTGTATTGTTTTATACTACTTATTAATATTGAGCAAACAGTTGTTTTTCTGGTTAGCATCGAGTTGTCTACGCAAGATACTCAACATCCATTGGCGGGATACCATCAGCAACAGCCATCTGTGGAAAAGAACAAACAAGCTCCCAGTTGAAGAAGAAATTAGGGAAAAACGATGGAAATGGATAGGAAATACGTTACGCAAATTATCAAACTGCATCAAGAGGCAAGCTCTAACTTGGAATCCTGAAGAGAAACGGAAAAGTGGAAGGTTAAAGAGCACATTACGTAGGGAAATAGAAGCCGATAATGAAAAGGATGAATAACAACTGTAAAGAACTAGAAAGGATTATCCAGGATAGAGTTGAATGGAGAGTGCTGATGGGCGGCCTATGCTTCTTCATGAGGAGTAACGCGTAAGTAAGTAAACAATTGTATTACTAGCAACTTCTACGCTTACGTTATTACTCAATTATATCGTGTAAAATATTTACGTATACTTATAACAATTATTGTATTTATCATTTTAATTACTTTCCTTCAAACCTTTGTAACAGTTATTCACAATTTGTGTAATCGTTTAATCCTTGTTTAAACACAGAAGTTTCCATATTGTTTGCTCTTGGTTCAGCTTTTGTTGTTGTTGTTGTTGTTGTTGTTGTTGTTGTTGTTGTGATAAACTGTCATAAAGTTTAGACACAGCGGTGAGCTGTCGTTTGTACAATCGTATGTTGTAATTATTCTTTATGTTACTATTGCAAGAAGACCTGTTTATTTCAAACTTGAAGATGTGGTGAACGCCACAGATACTTCATAAGTTGAGTTTTATAACTAATTTTGTATATTCTTCAATAAAGTACGGTCTTTTTTTAGACAAATCCTTGTTTTGTGAATTTCGAATTTCTCACATATCTCAATTGGGTGATATAGACGCTTCAATAGATCTAAGAATGATAATATAAACAATAAAAAGGAATTATAAGATGATGGAGAAGATTTGTAGATTAGGTGGATGATTTTGATAGAGTTTTGTTCTTTCAACTGGATAGTTTAATCATAGAGCTTTTATTGTTCTTCTGAATGATATCAACTGTAGAAAATTCAAATAGAAGTGAAGTTTCAATTTCTCGAATTTAAAGTTTGTACTGATGATGATGTCGTTCAGAAGAATGACGAAAACTGCACGACTAAGTTATTCATCTCTGAGAACAAAACTTTATCAAGTAAAAAGCATTACAGGTTTAGGAATTAATTATTAAGTGTTTCAGTGTTAAAATGATCTGACTTAATATTTGAGTCATAATTTATAAATATTTACAAAGCAAACGATACCTACTCTTTGTCTACTGATAAGTGGATAGTTAGTTGATTGTAAGCAATAGAAATTCTAGATCATAAATACTATGAAACTGGTAGTAACATCCATGAAAAGGGATAGTTATAAGAAAGGATTATCCAGGATAGAGTTGAATGGAGAGTGCTGATGGGCGGCCTATACTCCTCCACGAGGAGTGATAGGCGTAAGTAAGTAAACAGTTGTATTCTAGATAATAAATGCTATGAAACTGGTAGTAACATCCCTGGAAAGGGATAAATATGAGATCGCATAATATCACGGAACAGCTAATCAATGTTTACCATTCTTGAATTAATTACTACCTCCCTCATTCACAGCCACATTTGACCAAATCTTGTATAAATGTTGTTTTCTATTTTATGGTACGATGTGGTCTGTTTGATTGGTATATAAACCGAGTATCTTTGAATTATAATGATTCATATCGCAGAGGCTCGAACTGGTGTTCTGGACTTAAGTGGCTGGGCTAGGCAGGAAGCAGGACCGATAAGTACTCTAGACTGCTCATATGGGTTTACGCGTCATTGGTCTGATCGATAATTCACTGTTTCCTAATTGGTGGTATCATTACGTTATACATTAATAGGACATAGGGCACAAGTTATAACAAGAACACCAACTGAATCACAATAGTTAGAGAAACTTTGACAGAGGAGCAAAGCTTCACGTACCTCATCGATGAAAAAGAAGGATGTGATGAAGATATTATACATCATTGGTCCAATCGATAACTCACTGTTCTCTAATTGGCAGTATCATTACGTCATATATTGATAGAGACAGATGGTCAAAAGTTATAAGAGAACAGTAATGCTCGTCTATTTCAATTAATTTTCACAAACCTCTCATTTAAATAGTAACTAATGTTCACATGTGAATAACTATTATTTCACAAAGTTCAACTTAATAGGATACAATTCTTTTTGTTGATTTCAATTCTATTGACTCAAACATTCAAAGTGGATAACATTCAAAGATTTCTATGAATAATTAAAGCATAAATCATCAAAAGAAGTATAATATTTGATTGAGATCATGAACTGATTGATGTTAGACCATCATTGAAAACTTGACAACACTAGATGATTGTTTCGTCTCAGTATGTGACTCTTCAACAGTGCGGGATCGTAGAGGAGTAGTTCCACAATTGAACGAAACGGTCATCCTATGCTTCTAGCTTTTCAATGGTGGGCAATCTAACATATATCAATCGGTTCATGATCTCAATCAATAACCTAATAATCTCTATAACCTCATATTGATAAGTGTAATCATTTAACAACATTCTCATTGAGATGAAGTTTAACAAACTGATTACAAACGATAATACATTAAACAATGGGATACTATTTCATTGTTATGTAATCCAGTTATTAAAAGAATACCATATGTTGAATATTAACTATTGACATATTGAACATAAATATGAAGCTTTTGAAAATTGACCAATCATATTTCTTCTTGAATAGTTGTCTATTCAATATGCCTCCTTTTTTTTCGTTGTTGTTGTTGTTGTCGAAAACTGACCAATCACAAAGAAGAATGATTTTCCCATAAACAAAGTTTATGATCACTTGCATATGTCTCAGTTACTTTTGTTTGTTACATCCTAATGAAATTAAACACCAATGTATCAATGTTAATCTATTATAGATCATAAACTATTCAATAGAATCTAATATGATGAATGAATCAAGAATATCTTCAAGAGTTAATCAACGAAATGGGAAATTATGTCATCATTTTAATGAAATAGAAAAAGATTATTCAATACATGATCTAACAGATGATGATGATGATGATGATACTGCTGCTGCTGCTGCTTGATGATGATGATGATGATGATCATAACCATGATAGTCATCATTCAATATCATATTCAGAGGATGAATCTACTTCGAAATCAATCTATACAAACTCTTCTAGGAAATCTAATTTCTCTCAATTCTTATTTCATAAGGCATTAAATCTTTCAAAAAAACTTAAATATTATATCATGCATAGTATTACATTATTTCATGAAGATTTATATGGTTTATCATGGTCAGAAGTAAATGATCGATTACAATCCACTTATGGATTATCTATTAATACCAATATGAATATCTCATCTAAGAATGATAGAACATTACGTCATTTTAGTACATCTATATTACCAAATGATTGTACTACTACCAATACTACTAATACTAATACTACCCCTGTGAATAGAATGCCACGTAGATATTCAGAAAGACATTCATTACAGAAACATTCAAGACTTTATCAATTAGATAAACCATATTATATACAATGTAAATTCATTGAATCAAATATAACTCTATATAATAATAATAATACAATAGGTACTACAAACAATCCAATGTATATGGATTATGATTTAAAAAAGAATAATTTGCCAAAAAATCAATATCCAATCGATAAAATCAATAAACAATTCATCATTAATGATCATGATCCATTATTCATGAATCATTGTTGTCATAGTAACAATCATGATTTAAATTTATTAACATTTAAAAAGAATGATAAACATAGAATTGAATATAAAGATGTAAAACAAATAGAAACAACAATTAATGTATTAAATGATCATCATCATTATCATTATCATCATCATAGAGATTATCAACCATTAAAGGATATAAAACATTGGTTGATACATTTAAAAGAAAGACAACGAAAAACTTCCATGGAATTAAAAGTACTAAGTAATGATAATAATACTAATAGACGAATTCATAAATCCCTATCTCATTGATCGATGTTCTATGTAAAACCATGATGATGATGATGATTCGCATGATTCGGATGACGATGATGATGATGATGGTCAAACTCATCTGAATATATTGTACAGTGATCTTCCGTGATATTTGTTCATATGAAATAAAAGATCTTTGATATATACAGATATATAGATCATATGTATTTGGTTTATGAATAAATATTGGTTAGTGTTTTGTATTTTTAGTAAGATTGTTATCTATGAGATGGTGATGTTGACCCCATAAACTCAATCCTCATTCTTTATAGAGGATTTGGGATTGGCAGTAATCTTAGAAGAGTTATATCAAGACAGAACTACTGTATGAAGGTGAAATAATTAATGAACACTTGGTATTATTTGGCATGTATCTTCCCATTGACATTTAAGACTGCAATTGATCAGTCTGTCAAATTCACCCAATTGTACAAGTAAGTGGCTATCAGGACTCAGTAGCTGAGTGGATAATGCGATGGCGGTTGAAGCGTATGCTACTGGGTTCGAGTCCCAGAGTGAACACCAACTCTGAGATGCAGGTACATCCAGCTGACGAGTCCCGAATAGGACGAAACGCGCGTTTTGGGTCCCACTGCTAGCCACTATCCATCAATTAATGAACATTTTGCAAATGAAGTATTGGAGTATGGTTTTTCTATTTTATCAAGTCGCGGCGAGATTCTAATTTAGGGACGAACCTTGAACGAATCTTGAATGACCTTGACAATTGTTAGCCAATCAGAAGACAGTTAGTATAAAGTAAAAATATATTATAAGAAAGTAATGAATTACAGTGGATAGTCTTCTTTTACATGATTTAAAAACTTAAGGTTTGATAAAGTTTCAGAAGTCCTGAAATCATAATGCATATGGTATAGAAACTCGTCCATATGGCTCCATAACAGTCGTCCTCTAGAGCTGTGGTATGGTCTTAATAATTCCTTCAGTCTAGACCACATAGCTTCAATATTATTAGTATGGACGCCGGTTGTAGGGTCGATGAAATGACGTTTATGCACTACGACATGATGTACATATCCAAGTCTATGTAGGCACCTATAAGCTCGTCAATCATCCGTCTATACTGTTGTGCCCGGCTGCACGTATTCCTGTATAATTGATATTATTGTGTTTGCTTGCCGGCTTCTGATCCTCTGAAAATGTCCCTTTTTCATTGATCGGTCATAAATTCCAAGTACCTGTCAAGTATATTTACGGAAATGCTACTTACCCATTCTTCCTTGATACTACGTCCCCTATTGTATTTTCGCTTTCTTACTACCGTTTCATCTATCTCCACAATGCATCCTACTCCTCCGAATAATTGGCGTAGACGTGTCATTTTACTTGCACATATGTCACGGCAGTACTCATACCACTGGACTACTGAAGTTTCAGTAACATCTGCAAACGCCGCAGCCAGTGTTAATGGTGTCTTTATTACCCAATTTTCCACTATTATCATGATCTGACTTAGTGTCAGTCGCGATCGAGCGGAGAAAGTCCACGTTCGAGCAGACTTTTTCCTCCAACATGAAGTACGACGAAACATAATCTCACAACGGTGGTCTGCACACTTTGCTGCAGTTATTTGATAACCGCAGTCGCACGTACAAGAACTTCTTAATAGTCCCATCTGTTGTAGCCTCTCAATAATCACCTCTTCTCTTAAATCCGCTGTAAACCGGTCGTATGTTAGCATTACGTGTCGAAATTGGCTCCGTGACGTTGAAATTGGCTCCGTGACGTTGAAATTGCTCAAGTGCTTCTGATAGGCTCGTCCTTAAATTAGAGTCTCGCCATAGTGTGGTGAATGCTACTTATATTGATAGATATCAGTAGTGAGATGATGATGACGGTAGTTCGATAATGCAAAGGTGAATATGAGATTAGAGAAATGAAGAGATCATTTTGTATTTCTCTATATTGTCACACATACTTTGTCTCCTTCTGGTGATAATGACTGCCATTGTGATGTATTATTTGTTCCGACTGATCATTTATGTTTGACAGTGTTCAGTTTTAGAGAGAAAAGTAAACAGCAATATCAATGCTGTATGCATGATGACATTTTACTTTGAATAGTAGTTTGATTGATAATGGAAATCTATGGAAGACCCATAATACGAACACTAATGGTCTTATTTGATTAGAAGGAAGACTCAACAGTTAGATATATTTTATAGTGACGAATTGAGATTCACATGTTATGTTATGTGACTCTGATTCAGTCATGACATATACATTCTGATGCTTGTTCAACTAGATATACAGTTTAAGAAGACTAAGTGGATGTAGGAAGCTTTGATGTATGATGAATAACTTAAATGTATATTCATTCAACCTATGATATAGAATGAACTGTTTTAGACTGTGATTGTAGGTAATGACTTTGGTCAGATGAATAATATATTCCCTCCTCCAGACATCGAGTAACTCAATTAAATTCTATTTTGGTGAAAATCGATCAATCAATGTTTACAAAGTGTTTTAAACTTTGTTTATCTCTTACAAACAGCGGACTTATTTGATCATACTTAGCTTGTAGGATAGCAATAAAATCCGAGGGTTTGATTCCCATCAGTTTTGAACTTATCAGCGGACAGCATCTAGATATTTGGGTGGATATTCACATGGTTACTACAACATTATGCATGTCATATCAAATCCTTACACAATATTCTATGAGCCTCTAAGTCCACAATCACACTAAATTGTTCAACGATCATGATGATGTTAGTAATTGTTTTCAATTTCCATTTGTCCCTAATAATCAACACTGAAACTTACTTACTTACCCCTGTTACTCCTAATGGAGCATAAACTGCCCACCAACATTCTCTAATCCACTCTGTCCTAAGCCTTCTTTTCTAGTTTCATCCAATTCTTGTTCATTTTTCTCACGTCTATCTCCACTTCCCGGCGTAATGTGTTTTTTGGTCCTCCTCTTTTGCTTTGGCCTTGAGGATTCTATGTGAGTGCTTGTCTTGTAACATAGAACACTGAGACTAGTTGATCTGAATTGGGAAATGTTTATCCTGAATGGATAACCTCGATCGTATCTCCTCATTTCTACAGCAATTTGGAAGACTCTCCCGGTTTCCCACATTGTACGAACATTCCATGTACCTAAATAAATGGTCGCTCTGGTTGTCAGAAGGGGCGTCGGCCTCGTGACTTCCGAAGGAGCTCGGCTTTCATTACGAGGCGTCATAACTCTTCTAAATGAAAACCTGACTCCCAGGGCAGAGTTTAAAAGGTTTGAATAATTTTTTCTGGTTAGCGTTTTTTTGGCGAGTTATTTTTCTACGGGATTGGGTCGCTAACCCCATGCCCAACCCTCCTCCTTTATCCGGGCTTGAGACCGGCAGTAGCCCCCGGAGGGACTCCAGGCGGAGTTGGATAACCTCGATATTACTTTACAATGACAAGTTTTTAGTATATTCGAATAATAATGTATATAACTATGAATGAAACTGGTTTGGATTATTATTGTAACAGTTGTATGAAACTTGATCGGTTAATAAATTGAAGCCACTGAAGAATGACAATATTTGTCTAATGAAATGAATTCATTCTATATTGATGATTCTTTGTTGTTAGTTGCAAACCGTCTACAACTATGAGGAATGGTATTAGTTGTAAATGAACTTTTACTGATTTCAATCAGTGATGTAAAGTTGTAAACTGTACAGGAGGACATGAGGAACCGGTAAAATATATCGGAGCAGGTCGTTCTTGTTACTATCCAACAGGTTTTAGAGTCGAACAATTCAATAGACATAGTTTGAGGATGATAATAATAAGACGATTCATTTTATGTTGCATTTTTTTCTTTAAAATTGTGTATCACTCGTTGGTTTGATTGTAGTGTGGCCTCGAGTCGCGGTTGACTATGATCGCCACTATAAGAAGACTAAGTGCCAGTAAGTACCGTAAGCCAAATATCAGAAGGCAGTTGATGGCTGTAGTCGAAATGTATTTGTTGGCGATCCCGTGGTATCGAAAGAATACCGAGATCGTGCCATGTTACAAGTGTGGTTACTGAGCGTAACGGAATTCGTGCAAGGTCACAATCAACGGAGGAATGTATGTGCTTTGGTAGAGTTAAACAAACAAGTACGGTAAAACAATCCCTGGTACAATTTGTTATAATAATAATTGCTTCCACTACACCAATCGCTTTCTCTTGATAAAAGTAGGTCACTACAAGATATTAATGAAAACTTGATGTATTAATGATATGAATCAACTCTCAATAAAGATCGTTTAAATGCTACAAATAAGTGGCACATATCATGAAAAGTTCTGGAAGATTAATTAATTTTACAGTGCCTCCAAATGCACAAGGGCCGAGGGTGAGGAGAATCAGCTCCCTCTCTACAAAATACTTTCACGTGGTCACTGTCAGAGAAGTCCTGCTCACTGCCTTCTCGATATAGAGGTGTTCTCTACGAAGTTGACAGGATGAATAGCGAATGTCCAGTGCTTTAATCGGGTTGATGGAAACGGAGGGTTCACCTAGAGGAGTTGGAAAATCCTCATTCCAAACAATTGGTATACATGAGTTCCAGGATCCTGAGGGAACAAATGGCGTGTGAACTAATTATTGATCACCGATTACCGTGTGACTACATCTCCTTATGTTGCTCCACTACCTTGTAGATCAGACCTTTAGGTCGAAGGCTCCGGGTGTGGCCGCCCAAGAAGACCACCTATTTCAGTCTGGGCACTCGGACATTATCCTAGCTCACTCACAAATCAAGTGACTTGTGTGATGCATATGTATTCAGTGCCCCTTTGTATCGATATTTATATATTCAAATAAATAATGAATGTAAATTACAAAATAGAGAGAGAGATAGAGATTGGAGAAAATGTTGTATAGGGATAAGCTTAAACGATTCTTAAAATGATCAAGTGATTTCCAAACCATTATATTAGTCCATTTAATAGAGAGTTTGTAGAAATAGGATGAAATGTGCTTCCTGGATTGTACTGTTAGCCACCATCCATCTTTGTTAAGAATACTTTTGAATTAAGACCATATCGAAGCAATACGAACAGTATGCACATATGCTAATAATAATAACAGACTGGTCAATTTCAGTCCTAAACATCAGTCGGAAGATTCAAGTAAACAACA